GTTGTTCTGCATTGCACATCTTCAAACACTTATTCATTCAAGATGAATGAAAATCATTCTCATTCATCAGTTATTATTCTTCTAAAATTCAGATTAGAAGACGAGGGAGGCTATGCTAGATATCTCGGTCTAAATAACTATGTTGTTGTATGTTTAGTTTGTGTGCTTTGTTAACTGTGATTTATCGTTGTTGGTTTTTAATTATTGCCTTATATCTGTTGAAGGTGCATGAAAGTTTCCCCTTCCCTGTTTCCCTCACATGGAAAGGCTCTGCCACTGGATCACCTGATGAAACAGTTGAAAATCAGCAGAGCTCAATAGTATTTCCCAAGGGAAACCCAATTCCAAGTGTCAAAGCTCTGACATTCTTCAGATCTAGTACATTCTCTGTCGATGTGATCTATGCTGATGCAGACAATTTACAAGTTCTGCCTAAGATTAGTACATACACGGTAATTACATCTTATATATTATTACTTGCTTTATTTTAGATATTGTTCACTCAATAGAGAGTTATGACATGTTGATTGTCATTAGTTATTGATGCGTTGTTCTCACAACCACTGTTTTGTTGATAGATTGGTCCCTTCCAATCCACTAAAGGTGAGAGGGCAAAGTTAAAAGTCAAAGCTCGCCTAAATCTCCATGGAATTGTATCTGTTGAGTCAGCAACTGTAAGTCTGGGAAGCTTTTACATACTTTTCTTTGTACTGCTATTTCTATATATTGAGGTGTGTGTATGTGTTTTTTTATTTATTATTAAAGATGTTAGAGGAAGAAGAAGTTGAAGTCCCTGTAGCAGTCGCAAAGGAAGCTCCAAAAGAGGATGCCAACATGGAGACTGAGGAGGCAAAAGCCAATGCGTCTGCGGCTGAAACTGATATCAATATGCAGGATGCCTCTGGAACTGGGGTTGAGAATGGTGCACCGGAGTCTACAAACAAGCCCGTGCAGATGGAAACAGAGACAAAGGTTTGCAAAATGAACCTTATCTCCTTGTTAAATTATCATTGTATTACCTTCCATGTGTTGCTATCGAACCCATTTGTGATCTTGACGCATGTGGGTTATGTGGTTTATTATCTGTTCATTGACTATCATTGGTTCTAATTTCTGAAATGGGCTGTGGTTAGTTCTTTATTCTTTGTTTGGTTATAGTTTCTTTATTCTGTTTTTTGGTGTCAATTTGTATTGTTGTGAGGAATTCTAATTATTCTCTGCTGGTGGGAAGAACTTGCTTGCCCTCAGTTATATCGACAAGTATTTTAGTTCACATTGCATCCTTGAGTGACGTGATTGCTATCACATGATTGGTTTACTTTTGAGTATAACTCTGCCATGTTTACCTTAATACCCTTGAGTTATGGGTTCTGATTGATCCTTGACTCTTTTGTTCAAGATGATAATAACCTATCTGTTTTTTACATAGCAGGCTGAGCCTTCAAAAAAGAAGGTAAAGAAGACTAATATAGCGGTTGTTGAATTGGTCTATGGAGGCTTGGCTGCTGCAGATTTGCAGAAAGCTGTTGAGGAGGAGTTTGAAATGGCTCTTCAAGACCGGGTTATGGAAGAAACGAAAGACAAGAAGAATGCTGTGGAGGCGTATGTCTATGACATGCGGAACAAAGTACAAGGACTATCCTTAAAACTATTCAGAACTAGTTATTCGATATACAATAAAGTTGAGTCTCATAATTTTTTTTCTGGACATAGCTTCATGACAAGTACGAAGAATTTGTACAAACTGCAGAAAGAGATGACTTGACTGCAAAACTTCAAGAGGTTGAGGATTGGCTGTATGAAGATGGTGAGGATGAAACAAAAGGTGTTTACATTGCGAAACTTGAGGAGCTTAAAAAGGTAATCTTTCTGCTACAATAGATATCTTATATTAATTGTCTATGTAATTTCATATCTGACAAAAAAACTTGTTTGAGTGCAGCAAGGTGACCCTATTGAAGAGCGTTATAAGGAGTGGACAGAAAGAGAGCCAGCAAGTAGTCAACTTGGTTATTGTATCAATAGTTATAGAGAGGCAGCATTGTCCAAGGATCCCAAATTTGATCACATTGATGTTGAAGAGAAGCAAAAGGTATTATTGTTTGCAGCTGTGCTATTAATTTACTATCCACATTTATGCTGTTAGCTTTGTTTTTCAAATAATTTTACATCAGTTTTGAAATTCTTACATTGGTAGACCTAATTGAATTTTATGCATGCATATGAGTCTTTTCATGTTATGTAGTACATAAATAATGAAATTCTGTTGCAAGTTTACTAAGAAAGTGTGCTATTACAGCGAAGAACCTGCTATTTTACTCACAAATGTTTCCTTTACAGTCTCATACTTCTAATTCTTCATCAATAGTCTTATTGTTACTGGGATGCTTTCGGTTTTCTCGTCAACTCTGTGTTTGTTTTCTTACTTTTTCCTTGAGTTCTTTTCTTCCTTTTTTGAAGGTTACATTCTTATCAATATTTTCTTGAGTCATACATTGGTTAAGATTTCTATTTGGTTTGCTTGCTTGCTGAGTTTCTTGCTGCTCCAATGGTTTACTTTGGAGTGATGGTTGTATGATGTTATGTTTAAGCTTCTGTTTCGAGTTCTTTATTACTACAATTTTCAATTTCGCATGCCTTGTATTGCTGATATATATGGAAATTGTTGTAGTTAATTACGACGGGAATTCTGTTGGTCAATAGGTTATCAACGAGTGTGGGCAAGCTGAAGCATGGCTAAGAGAGAAAAAGCAGCAGCAGGATGCTTTGCCAAAATATGCCACTCCTGTTCTTTTTTCAGCAGACATTAAAAGAAAGGCTGAGGCACTAGACAGGTAGATAATTTATTTTATATAATTTATGATTTAAGGAATACAAACATTGTTATCTGCCTGACTTTTGTAACATGATTTAGTTTTCCATGTTGAAGAATATTAACAATTTAGTTGGAATTTTCACCTGCTCTTTTAGGACGTTCAAAGTATATTTATGCTTGAAAAGAAAATATCAAATCTATAGTTATTGTCCATCGTGTTAGGTTAGGTCATAAAAGTATGAATATTTTATTTTTGGTATTTACTAGGCTAGTTCATGTTATTCATATAGTCGGTCGTTGTCAAATGTTATTGAGGTAAAACAATTGATCTGTAGCTTGCTTTCTTTTTAGATGGTCTATTGTCATAACTAGATACTAATACTTTCTTTGCTTTCATTGTTTTGGCTTTTGGATTTTTTTCTTGGGCTTTTCTGAGTTTCATGGAGTCAAAAGTCTTATCAGGATGTCCTGCTATATTTTTTATGCAGTTTTAAGTAGGGAGGGAGAAAAAGTTGTTTACCATTTTCTTTTGTTTTTTCATTATCCATCCAGTTCTCTCAAGTGCGCTATGCTTACGACCTTGATAAGCAATGGCTTCAAGTATTGTTTAATATCTAGGTTTGTACTTTTGGCTCCTCCCGGGTAAGGACTCTGATTGTATCAGAATATGGATGTAGCTTATATATCAAGAAAACCTGGTAGCAGGACTCTGATTGTATCAGAAGTTCATATTCCAAATGTTGGCAAATATTCTAGCATACCCGCGGATGGCATAATAGGGTTTTTTCATGAAATTATATAAAAGGTTCACAGCAGTTTCCTATAAATAACGTTGAAAGTTTGTGGGGTATGTTGACAAAACTTGAGCAGCTTGGGGGGTTTTGTGACATGCCCAAAGGGTAGGGGGGTTGAGTGAAATTTATAAATTATATAGGGGTTATCCCAAAATCAGCCAAACATCTGGGGCGGGTTACATGGAGTTTACGCTGTTATTTATATGATCTTTGATAATGATGAATGATGTATTTTTCTGATGAGAATTGAAAATGTTTGCCTGTTTAACAGGTTTTGCAGGCCAATAATGACAAAGCCTAGACCCCCACCAGCCAAACCCCAGACTCCACCTCCAGCAGAGGCAGGTTCTCCACAACCTCAATCTACCGCTTCCGAGCAGCAGCCTCAAGAAGGCGGAGAGGAGCAGATGAGCGAAGGAAGTGGGCAAGGCTCACCGCCTGCTACCTCTGACCCTATGGACACCGAGAAACCAGAGGGAACTCCTTCAGCTTAGGGGAGGGAGGAGGATTTTGGTCTCGTGGTTGTTTTACCGCGTCGCCTGTGCCTGGGTTTTTTGCCTCTTGGTTGAGGTGCGGGTGGTCTACAGACGTGTTTTATATATGGCTTACGGATTTGGTAGTAGGACTGCAGAAGGAATTGTACCAGTTGTTTTTTTTTTCTCTCGAAGAAATTCAGGTTTTATACTCGGGGATAGCCTCTAGATTTTGCTGAGACATCCCTGAGGTTTAGCAGTTGTTTATCTTTGTTCTCTATCGTTGCTCGTTTGTGCATTTCGAGTTTTTCTGTTGCCTTGAATGACTCTCAAGCTTCAACGCAGTTAGTTACTCGTGATCCCTGCAGCACTAACAATGAAGGGACCGGTGTGGAATTTGATTAGCATATGAACGTCAGAAAATGGTGAATCACAAGAAAAGGACAAAAATTTTTAAACATACTCTTCTAAAAATTTATTTACATTTTTCGATCCACGTCTACCTTAATTAGTAAATTTGACTTAATTTTATGAAACCCGGTCGAAATTGCTAATTAAAGCTTTACATGAGTGCCAGTCCCACACGGGATTGTCAATCCTATGAAGTTTTATTCACCAATTTAAACCTAGTGTTATAAAATTAGGTTGAAAATACTAATTAAGTTGGAACTAAGTAGAAATTTTAAATAAATGCGTAAAAGGGTCTATTTTCAAAATTGATAGTAAAGCTATCCGTTGCAGTGAGGAAATGTGCTTGTTTCTACTCTCTAGTTACGTGCTTGAGATGCTATGAAACGGCGCCAACATTTTCCGCTACGCGCATGAAACAGCCATTGTAAATGTAGTCTTTATACTCCCCTAGAATTTTGGTCACCGAGCGGATCACGTTCATGAGACAAAAATGGCTTGATATGGTTACAATTTTTGTGGGCCCAAAGTAATTTTTTTACTGTTGTCGCAAAGGGTAAAAAAAAAAGGATTATTTGGGGTCAAAAGTAATTCTAAGTACGAGATTGGCAAGCTGTATTCGCTCTCGACTGGCTTTCACACTTAAGCAGAAATATTGTAACCCATCGTTGCGCAAAAGAAGCAATCCTATTAGTAAATGGCTTTTTTTATAATATTAAAATAAGAGGAAACTCAGGGAAATCAAGTCATAGTAAATACTTTTGTAGCAGGTTTCTATTGAAAGGGCTGGGGGAATTTTTTTTTTATGCTCCCTATCTGAGTGAACTGTTATAACTTCTCAAGCTCATCCATCTTTGGGAGGTAAAATACAAAACAAATATGCAGCCATTGTTTGAATAGAAAGCAAAAAACTTATTTAAGCAATTACGCGTTAACTGTCGACAAATATTAAAATCATATATCTTACCTCAAAGATACGTACTAAATTGTAAAAATAATTTCAACTTCATTTATGCAAGCAATTGAAATTGCCAAAGGAGCCCGAGATTATTAATTCCGAACACTTTTCATTTATGCAAGCGATTGAAATGGTGAAAAGCTAATTAGATTTCTTCATTTTTCCAGTGGCTGGTATTTTCACTAAAAACTCTTGAATCTAGGTGCTGAGAATATTTGTTTTATTTGCAGAATTCCCATTTTGCATTTTGAAGCGCAAGCTCTCGCTCCAAATCCCATTACCGATAAATAGCGTAAGGGCATCTCCAACGCAGCGACAAAATGCCGCTGCGTTGAACTGTATCATCTCCAATCATGCCGCATTTACTGCGGCATTTTGGTGCAGATAAACAGTGCGACGTCAAATATGACGTCACACTGTTCATCCGCGGCATTACTGTTCCCTTTTTTTTTTAAATTTTTTTTAAATTTTTAATTTTTACCTCTTAATTAATAAAATATTAATTTATTGTTTTATTAGTTTAATTTTTAATAATAAATCATTTTGTTTGAAAAATATGTGAAAAAAAATAAAATTTGATATGTGGGGTTAATTATTGAATAGTTAAAAATATAGGGAATAGAAAATAATAATATAAAAGTAGATAAAAAAGAATATACTGAGAATATTTTTTTTGGTGCAAAAAATGGTTCAGTGGGTTGAAGATGAATTACTGTTTGATGTGACTTTTGCACCATTTTGATGCAAAATTTGCACCATTTTAGTGCAATGGGTTGGAGATGGTCTAAGCCCAATGGTACAGGTTGTTGATGAATGATCATACATCCAAAGTGACAATGTACTTGCTAAGTTATGGACTTTCAGTGCCTCATTGCTTTGATAGTAGGATCCTTGGAGTTAACCGATATCGTTAAGAGGAATCAATAAATGAATATGATATCGTTAAGATCCTCGCAAACGTCCATTCGTGCCTATTATTTATGTCTGAAACTTCATAACTATACATGCTGTCATGAGTTAGTAACATCCCCTAGGTTCTCAGTGAAGGGAGTCATCATGGATTCCAAATTGGCCCGAGACATTTTGAAGGTAAATTTCCACTGAAGCGGTTGGAAGAGAGAGATCAAATGTTTGTTAAGTTTTGAAAATGTTCTGTTGGCTTCAAGCTTTGTTGATAAGCAGGATCGGGCCACTGAAAACTGTATTGAGTTTAGTCGAGAACTTCAAGGTTGTATGCTTCACAAATAGGTGTTGGGATTTCTCCTTTGAGATTACTATTGGCCATTGAAAAAAAAAAAAGAGCTAGCTTTTGTATTAGTAGGATGGAAGGAAATACTAGAAGAGAGAGCCGATGAGAGGTTATTGTTTGAGTAATCTAGATATTGAGGAAGTGGAATTGGTCCCTTAAAGCGTAGTAGAATGAAGAGCAAGAAAACCGTTTTCGTGTTGTGGAGAGAGTAAATGGCCCTTTTGAAAAATACTACCTTTAAAAGTGAAAAAAGGTTTAAAACATAATAATATCATTTCTCATCACTTTTCATCCACTTTCTTCATTTTTTTGAGAAAGTGAAAGAGGGCAAAAAGCTGATGTGATATCCTTTCACTTCCCATTTATTTTCCACCATTTGCCAAGTGGCAAACGAGGGAGGAAACAAAAAAAATGCAAAAAGGAGCTACTTTCCAAATCTAGGTTCACTTTCCGTTTAGTTTCCAGTTGTCAAACACGCGGTGAACATATAGAGTTTTTTTCTCCCTAGAAACCACCTTAAAATAAGATTGTTTTTAAAAAAACAATCTTTTATTTTTAATTTATACAAAATAGGTTGTTGTTCCAATCAACGATCTCCCAATCAATTATTGAAAACCCAGAATACCGTTAAAAACTCACATTCAGGACACCTGACTCACTTTGTTAATGTTTAGGTCTAGTTAGGATAAAGTCACGTACTTAAAATGAGCATTTCTTAAGGTTATTTTTTCTTTTTTAGCGAAGATTTGGCTAGAAAGTTGTTGATTGGAACAAAAATCCACTTTAAAGATGATTTTTGTATAAATTAAAAATGTAATGTTATTTCTATAAAACGCTTTCCTTCTTCGACTTTATGCCTGGTTCTTAGAGCTCAGGGTGGGCGGATCACCTGCACACACAAGAATCGCGGGAGTACGAGGCCTGTTTCTCTCGTGGTACCTCCGACGATCAAATCAGCTCGTGTACTTGGTCCGAGAATAGAGGAATAGAGTCCTATTCTAATATGTAACTAGAGAATTTTCTTTAGGTCGTGATGGAGAGACCGAACCTCCTCCTGTGGTGAATAGCGTTTTTACTTATCGAGGACGCCAGGGGCAGGATCGGCACTTTGTGAGAGTGCGGTTCATGATGATGGCGAGGGATGGGCTGGAGGCTGAGTCATCCTTTGCCTGATAGTGTCGATTGATAAGTTATGGGAGATCACTACGGTGACATAGGGAATCGGTAGCCGTTGCGGCCTGTCAGCGAGTGACGCGGAGTCATTTCCGCGATATGGGGATCCAACAATCGTCGGGGCTTGTCGGCGAGTGACGTGGAGTCACTTCTGTGTTATGGGGACCCAGCAGCCGTCGGGGCTTGTCGGCGAGTGACGTGGAGTCACTTCTGTGTTATAGGGACTCATTAGCTGTCGGGGCTTGTCAACAAGTGACGTGGAGTCACTTCTATGTTATAAAAGGTTAAATAATACTGAGAAATAATATTCCGAGTCGCCTTTGGGAAAAGTGTCAGTTGATCGATGGGTAATCATCTTTTGCTCGACTGAGTCCGCCCTTCGAGTCGTCTTGGAATGAAGTCGACTCGACCGAACCTGCTCTCGGGATAGCATATTTGTGGGGGAACATGGAACACCCCATAACAATATGTATATACATATACATATATATGTATGTATATAAAGACACATACATATATATGTATATACACACACACATATATATATACACACCAAAAATTAGGCATATTGGGTTGTTTTTACTAATGCATCAAGTGATAGTAAAATTAACGGTTTATGACAACACAACAAAAGAGACAATGAAAAATATGTGTTAAAAATATTCACATATCATGATTTTTATTTTGTAGATATTTTAAGACATTTAGATCATGATGAATGGAGCGGATCGTCCATTAAATTAGCTCAATTCATATATTGTGAGATGCATCCTTAGATGTACCTTAAGGAGCCTCCTTAGGTACATATTATCCATATATATATATGGAAATGTGTATGCTGGGTACCAAGCACAAATTTTATGCTTTGTAGTGAAGTGTCCTATTCCCATCCACTAATTCCAATTCCCAACAATTCTCTAACCCATGTGAAAGTGGATCCGATTTTAATGAGTGGAGGGAATATGCCACGTTACTATCAAGCACAAAAACTTATGCTTGGTACCAAGCATACCCATGTTTCTCATATATATATATATATATAAAACATGAAGACATCGAAATAGAGAAAATGATATCGAGACAAAAGAGGGAATAAAATTCAATATTTCTCTATATATATAAACATGAAGACATCGAAATAGAGAAAATGATATCGAGACAAAAGAGGGAATAAAATTCAATATTTCTCTTCCATCACGTTTAAATCAATATTTATGATTTGGTAGCAGAGTGAAACTTGAGTTTTCCTGCTGTATAGTTTGTGTGGAAACCCTCCATCGTTGTACATGAGGTATATGGAAAATCTATGAGAATGATTTGCATCTAATAATTCCTGAATAGTTTTTTTAATTATTAGAAAACATGGCATTTTTCCAATTATTATCCGTAATTCCCAATTCCGTTATATAGATGAGACAAATGTATTTCCAAGTACTTAATTGAACTATTAATTGCAGGGGTTGAAAGCTTTTGCAAATGAAAAGGAGGATAAGACATCCACAAGGAGGACGACGACTTGGAAAAAATTGGGAATC